AGAGGACGAGTCCAGTGATGACACATCAGTCTGACACCTGTAAGGTGTTTGCAGTCACCTAAATCCTGCTCGGCCACCTTTAAGGAGGCCGATCTCGTTCATACGGACAAAGACACACATGTAAATATCTTTCTTTGTGCGTGCAGTGGATGCTGCACTTTGTCATGCTGTTATCAGTATCAAAACAACCCCACCACTGTTTCTGTCCGAAGCTCTAATAGGACCATAAAGAGCAGGAGGATGGGTTTTATCTGTGGCTGCTTAGATAAACATACTCAGCAATAAAAAGCTCACTTAGTCCAAAGCACTGAGGAAAATGAGTCTGACTTGTTGTTTTTGTGCGACTGTAAGAAGGTCAAAGTCTAAAAAGACAAAAAATATATATTTTTTCCTCCAAATCTTTCTTTATTATCTTCAAATCAGCAAATTCAAAGCAGCTGGAAAATTCTCAAACTCATTAGAAGATCAACAAACTAGTCAACAAATTCTGTTCTGAATTTTCTGTCGCTCCGTTCTAACAGCGAGATAAATCATAGATCAATCTGCACATTGTGACAGTGATGTTTCCTCAAAGACACGCGTGTTTGAGAGCGAGTCCACTCCATGGACTTTGGGATGTTGGAGTAAGACAGGCAGCAGGAACAAACTGAACTCCAGCCTGGAACATTAAAAGCAGTGACTGGAGGTTGGGATGCTTTATATAAGCAACGTATTAGCTTGTGCCAAATGTAACAGATGTTGATTTATGTGTAAAGTCCTAGACTCCAGCTCTAATGTCGTAAAACAGAATTAAATATAAGGGTTAATGTCCACGAGATGATTCCGGGTGTTCCCAGGATAAAACACAGAGTAGGGAACGATTGTTAAACCAGAAACGATGCGGTGTATTTAATTAGAGCACCATCAGATTATCATTATTATTATTTATTTTTATTTTTTAATCAAGATCGAGATTTTAGCGACATAAACAGAGCGTCAGAGGAACAGTGAGACGATGCTGCGTTTATGTCGAGTGGACTGTAAATGCTGCTTTCATCCACGTTCACTTCCGACTGCAAACCTCCAATTAGAGCCTTCCAGTCACCGCGGGAAATGATACAGACGCCTCATTTCATCCACAGCTTGGCCTTCAGCCCAGTTGAACAGTGGGTTTGAACCCAGAAAAAACAGCTGCTACGCTCGTTTTACGTGATGTGAACACAGCAAAAAGAACCTCAGCAGGTGGAGACAGAGAGCAGCTCATGCTCCTTTTATTTATTTGCTCAAAGTCAGGCAAAAGTAAGCTAACAAGGAGGATGGTAATATTAAGATTTGAGATCCAAAATTTAAAGGAACAGTTCACCCCAAACTCACGTTTGCATGTTTTCCCCCACCCTGTATTTCTGGATTGTGTTGGCGTGGGTTCCCCGCTTTTAGTTATTTTGTTTTTGTTGATCATGAAGTGCACAGTAGTTCTTGAAGCACCTGAAAATACACCTGAAAACCTCTTTGCTGAAGTCACGCCCCTGTTTCTCATGAAGTCCACAAACTTTGCTGTGAGCAGTTTCATGTGGGAACTATTTTCTTTCTTCCAAACTACAACCATCCAACCGTCTGCTCGGGCAAACGAGCACGTACCCATGGTGGGACCTGATTCCTGTTACAGGATGTAAACACTGACGAGTCCTCTTGAGCAGAGCTGTAATGTTGCCTGTCTGCATGCTTCTCTGGGCTGGTAGAGCTATGGTAGGAATAACCGTTCCCATGTGAAGCTGCTCTTTCCACGGCTCGTGGAGGGTTTTTTATAACGAGCCGGTCATGATGTCTGGAAAGACGCATCACTGCTGCTCTATTCAAATGTACTGTTTGGCTCTTAGAGCACCCCGAGGTGAGTTCACATCTCTGCAGCTGATCTCTCTAAAAAGAAATAATATAGTTGTAAAAGCACTCCCTAACACCCCTAACCCCTAACCCTAACCCTGCTAATGCTAAGCTAGCCCAATGCTAAGCTACCACCACAGGAAACAGTAGGGAAACAAGTGGCAAACCCTGACCCTAACACTAGGGGAAACAAGTGGCAAGCCCTAACCATAAAAATAGGGGAAACGAGTGGGAAAACCTAAGAAAACATCACCAAACACTAGGGAAAACGAGTGGGAAAACCTAAGAAAACATCACGAAACACTAGGGAAAACAAGTGGAAGTCACTTCCTTTGACTTCACAAAACATGTCAGAAAAGTTAGCAAAAATGCTAATGCTAAGCTAGCCCAATGCTAAGCTACCACCACAGGAAACAGTAGGGAGTCAAGTGGGAAACACTAGGGGAAACAAGTGGCAAATCCTGACCCTAACACTAGGGGAAACAAGTGGC